AGGTTTTGACTTTGTGGTTACCATAAGGCTTACATAAAACATTAGAAATATAATAGTCTATTTTAAGCTGATAACAACTTAACTTCTATTGCATGCAAAATCTTTACCCTTTGCCTCTCCCTCCCTCCACATTTTATGTTTTTGATTTCACAGTTTACCTCTTTTTATGTTGTCTCCATTAACAAATTATTATAGCTATAATATTTTTTAATTTTTTCCTCCTTTAATCTTTATATTAGAGTTAAGTGATTAACACACCACTATATTACAGTATTAGAGTATTCTGAATTTGATTATATACTTACCTTTACCAGTATGTTTTATATGTTCTTATGTTTTCATGTTACTAATTAGCCTTCTTTCGTCTCAAGGAACTCCTTTCAGTATTTCTTGTTAGATAGATCTTGTGGTGATGAACTCCCTCAGCTTTTGTCTGGGAAAATCTTTATCTGTCCTTCATTTCCGAAGGACAGCTTTGCCGGGTAAATTATTCTTAGTTAGCAGTTTTTTTTCTTTCAACACTATCTACATATCATCTCACTCTTTCCTGGCCTGCAAGGATTTTGCTGAGAAATCTGCTGGTAGCCTTATGAGGTTTTCCTTATATGTGAGGAATTTTTTTTTCTCTTGCTGCTTTTAGGATTCACTCTTTGTCTTTGATTTTAGACAGTTTTATTATAATGTGTCTTGGAGAAGATCTTTTTGGGTGAAACTTGTAATGTGTCTTGGAGAAGATCTTTTGGGTGAAACTTTTTGAGGACTTATGATCTTCATGAACTAGGATGTCAAATCTCCCAGACTTGAGAAGTTCTCAGTCATTATTTCTTTAAGTAAGCTGTCTGCCCCTTTCTCTTTTCTCCTTCTGGGACTCCAAATATGCATAGATTGTTTCTGTTAGTGGTATCCCATGATTCACATACGCTTTCTTCAATCTTTTTCATTCTTCTTTTCTTTGTTTTCCTATGATTAGATAATTTCAAATGATCTATCTTTGACATAATAGATTCTTTCTTCAGCTTAAGTCTGTGGTTGATATTCTCTGTTGCATTTTTCATTTCATTCATCGTATTCTTTAGCTCCAGAATTTCTGTTTCGTTCTTTTTTGATTTCTGTTTCTTTGTTAAACTTCTTGTTTTGTTCACATATTATTTTCCTGAATAACTTTTTTAGAAGCATTCAGTAAATACTTGCCAAGGGACCAGAATAAGAAAATTAGAAAATCCTAGCATTTAATGATGATCCTCAGCATAATTCCATATTTGAATAATCATTTATATGAATAAATATTATCAATTGATATACAGATTTTAAAATGCATTAATCCATACAAAAGATATTTCAGTAGTTCTCATCAGACTGAGAAATTTAACAGCGAAGATTGTCTTTAATTTTTCATATTCTCAGCTTAGTAAACATTGGTAGGATAAACAAAGGAACTAGCATTGGGAAAATGCCATAAATGTTACAGAGAGGATCTTTTAGCAAAGACTTGCCCATTGAAGGCTGTTGGCCTTTATCATTCTAGGCCACAGGGTGTCACTTCAGAGTAAGGTTTCAAAAGTCCCTTAACTTAGTGGAACTTAGCTATTAACCACAGATTTGATTCTGTGTAGCATTAAAAATTGTTTTATCAGAAATATGAATAAATAAATGCAATATGGATACCAAACTATGTTCGCTGAAACCTGTGGCCAATAGGCTACCCAAAATAAGTGAAGAAGCTCCCTGGATTGCAAAAGTCTTTAATTTTAATGGAAATGAAGAAAGTTGTGTTCAAAAGCAGGAGCAGTCCCCCTGCCATCTACCAACAAACCAATTGAGTTAGCATTCATATGAGATCCTTTAGTTTTAGCCACAATGTATTTACTGTTTATGTTCATTTTTAGGTGTTTTGTGTAGGTAGTTTTAATCCCTTAATGAGAATGTTGAAAATTGCCAGTTAAAAGGGGCGTATAGTTACCATGGAAACAAAACTGAGCCAGCTGCATCACTGAGGACTTGCAGCCTTTCGTGAATGCACCAGTTCCTCTAGAGGAGCCTGTGCTCTCTGGAGAGCCATTCCTTTGTTGCAGGTAAAGTACTTTACATGATTGTCCCCTCAAAAAGGGTTCTATTTGCCAAACTATTTCCATGTCCCTGAAGTGGTGCATCTGGACGATCCCTTGTTAGTAGGTTCACAAATTCTGAGCAACTCATTCAAAGGGTAACTAGGTTATTTACACAGTGTTCCTGGATTCATCTCTCTGTTGAATGTAACTGTTGTCTGTGTCAGCAGACACCTTGCTGTACCATAGTGGTGCATGAACACGATAAATTGAAATTCAAGGCCATATTTTGAGCTGTTGCTAAAATATTTTGTCAGGAAAAAAAAAAATCCAGAATGGGCAGAACAGGCAGCAAGGAAAGAAATGTGACAGTTGTTCATCAGTGCCGGGTGGGGCTAGCTGGAATCCTTTCTAAGTGGTTTCTTTGCACCCGGACTGGGAGTATAGATACCATGTGAGATTCGAGCGTGAATGCTGTTTGTTTTGAGGCTGGAAGAGAAGGATGGAGCTGTATCTGGAGTCTTTCCTTGATCTTTAAAAATCTTTTACTCTTGAAACAGTGCAATCCCCTAGAAAATATCTATCCAAACTTTCTAACAAATGAACGCGTCTAAATCTAAGAGGTCTGAGAAGAAAGAGGTAGTGGCTTCTATATGGTAACTCTCCAAGAGTATTTCTTATGCTTTTCTTATTTTTATTACAGAAAGGCTGGATATTTGGTCTTTCTTTTCCAAGTTCTGCAGAGTGGGAATGTGATCTCTAATGAAGTTTTCAGTTTATGAAAATTCTGTTATAGCAAACCAACTAATGTGTCCCATGAAGACCATCATTCATACATGATCATTTGATCTACATATCTGGTGTCATTAATTTAGTCCGTCCTGCTTTTGGATCATCCTTTTCTCTCAATTAGGTATTTATTAGCTCTCTTGTTTTACCTTTCTTGTTTTACTATTTCTTTTTTCCCCTTTAATAGAAAATAGTCTAAGTTGACATTTAAGCCTAGGTTATTTATTTTTCTTAAAAATTTTTCTTCTATTTTACCACAAAGCATGAACTATTTTAATACTAGCTATTCTCTATTTTGCATAATTTTAACAGCAAAATTCTTTTTCTTTTCCTTTTGTCACCTTGAAGTTTGTGATTGGTGTTTCCTACCATAGTTTTAGCTGTTTCTAAAAATTAGTATATTTACAATTCCTCCCCAAAGGTAGTTTTAGCAGATGTTAAAATGCTAAATTTATTAATTTCTATTCATCTGTTTATGTAGTAGGTATTTGGGTCCCTAAAGTTTTTAATATTCTTCTGTCTCTACTCTCACTACTAGTACACAATAATTAGAATAAATTCTTGTTTATTTTACCAAGGTTCCTTTTTTGGATATAAGGTATCTTATTTCAGAAGAGCTTCGATATTCTGAAGCGTTCATTCAATGAATGCCTATTGAATGTATGCTACATGCCAGGAACTTTTCTAGGTGTTAGATATTCTAGTGTGAACAAAACAGACAAAATGCCTGCCCTCACTGGCACTTACCTTCTAGTGGGAGAGACAGATAATACACAAGAAAAGTAAAACATGTAGTATGTTATATTATGATAAAGCCTAGGAAAAAATTAAGCAGAGAAGGGGATTTAAAAGTTGGGGGTTATATTGAAATTTTAGGTTGGATGGCCAGAGGAAACCTTAGTGCAGATATATGTGGGAAAGATTCAAGTCAGAGGAACAACAAGTGCAAAGGCCTTGAGGTGAGCATGTGCCTGGGGTGTCTGAGGAACCACAGGGAGAGCAGGGTAGAGGAGCAGAGAAACTTGCCTCTGCTTCTCCGCTGTCTGCCCACCATATTGTACAGCTCCTTACACATAGTAACATTCGAATATTCATTGAGTGAATTAATGAAACTGGATTCCAGAACTTTCAGAGGGAAAATCAACAGTGACTAGCTAGATATGTGAGGAGAGGGGGTAAATCCACAAGCATTTGTGTGGGGGCTGAGTGTATGGTGGGGAAGAAAGAGTGGTTTGGGTGGAGAGGAATAGAAGAGAGTAGGTTTTGAGCTGGAGATGTTGAGTAGGCAGCTGGAAACACAAGTTTGCTGCTTAAGAGAGCTCAGGCAAGAGAGAGATTTGGGAGGTGATAGTTGGAGGTATGGGACTGATGAGATCCTCCAGGGAGATGGCCTTGGACAGGGTCACGGTGTGGGAATGCCGAAAGTGGTGTGGATTCATTCTGTAGGCAGGACCTCGGGCCTTGACGATGGAAGAGAGGTGGATGGTAAAGAAAAGCAGGAGTCAAACCTAATGCTAGTGCTCTATTGACAATAGTGGTGCCATTGATAAGATTGGGTGCCAGATGGGGCAAGGACATGTTTGGGGTGAGAGTGAACATCAGGATAGAAAATATGTAGTAAATGCCAAATTGAAAAGAGGACCTATATTTAAATCTCATAAGCTAAGGCTCTCAAAGTCACTTGGGCTAATGAGGAGCCAAGTTGACTTCATTTATGAGGTAGCCCTGAGTATAGCGCTGAAGCTCCAGTGTCACCAGCAGGTGGCGCACCCCACCGGGTGATCCATGACCTTCCAAAGGCCCATCTGTTTGGAAATCTTGCTACCCTACCATTTAGCCTGGAGCCCTGGAAGTGTTTTTGATGCCTCCCATTACTGCTTTTCGTTTGGAATCAGTCTGTACCTTACTAAGCAGAGTGTTCCTGAATGTTACGGAGCTCCTCAAAGGGATGCCTGTTCTCGTGTATCCTCTTTCAGAGACTTAGTGCTTTGATACTTGTGCTGTTCGTAGTCAACGTGCCAAATGATACGTAATTAGCAACAGGCAGGGAACAAGTTTCACTTGCTGCTCATGAAGGTTAGATATTAACTGGCGAAAAGAGGACAAGATAAATTTAGGACAAAAGAAATGTGTGTGTGGTTATTAATGTGCTCTGTTTGCCTTTAGACATATCAGATGATAGTTTTGCTAAGTGGAAACAGTCAAAACTGGAAGAAGATGATGCTCCAGGGTCCCTTTCCTCAGTAGCAGAAGAAGCAGACTTGGCAGGTAACATTATGCACCCAGCCAGCCATTCAAGCAAGAGTATGACAAATGTGTAAGCACTGAATGTACCCACATGAATTACAAGGGAGTTACAGTTTTAAGATCATAGTAGCTACAGAACCCTAAAGACTAAGCATTTTGTCCTTTCAGAGACAAGTAAATTGTTGCACAAATTGCAGATAAAAGCGAGCACCATCTTCTTCTAGCACTGATTTCTGCCTCTTAACACTTTATGGCAATTTTCAGGGCCTAAGTGTTCTTAAACTTACAGGTCTCTGCTTTAGTTGATAGTTATTAACTACATTTTTATGTTAGAACTATCCATTTTATACCAATGAAGGAGAATGATCTGAAATATTTGCCTGTGGGGTTGGCCTTCTTGATGAGTGACACCACTATGTTTTGAAACAGAAGGTTCCAAGAAGGCAAATTTGGAAGCCCAGAAGTACTAGAGAGCGGTAGTTAAGAGCCAGTCAGCCTGGTTCCAATCCTGGAGCTGTTGGTGTAAGCTTGCACAAGTTATGTGATTTCTCTGTTAAAGGTGGACAAAAGTAGTGCCTACTTTACATGGTTTTTGTGGGACAGAATGAGTTGATACATGCAAATCCCTTAGAGTGGAGCCAGATCCCTCATGAGCCCTCAAACAACTGCTGGCACCCAGAAGCTGTTATGCCAGCATTGTCCCCGTAGAAATGCCCTACCCATCGTGTCCTCCTTAAAACCTCTTATGACACCTCGGCCTGCTTCTTAGACATAATATCAGTTGCTCTGATTTCAAGTGCTGAAAGGGTTTGGATGAAACGAGCACTTGCCAGCGAGAGAGGTTTGATGGGACACAGCATGAAGCACCTGCCGCGTAGATTCTTGGCTCAAGCTGGCCTGGTCAGGCGTGGCCAGGGTCAGCCCTGCTGCAGTCACGGGCAGGCCACTGGCGGGGCTTCCGTGGATCCTATTTGTGCCTCTGACTGACTCTCCGTCCCCTGGGCAGATGATGGACTCAGCACATCTACTCCGAGCACTTTGTTAGTTTTACTTAATGTTCTGTTCTTGTTGTTCAGAAGGCATTTCCGCTCCATCCCTAGAAGTTATGCCAGAGAACTTGAATGATTCTGCCGTTATCACAACCTTTGAAAACCTCACTAGAGAACTGAAAAGAAAGTACGAGGTAATGGTCCACTAAAAATGAAAAGCTAGCTTGTTATGAATTTAAAGTAACAAGTTCGTATTATTCATCAATACCGTTGTTATCCTTCATATCAGTGAAGGATAACACGTATCAATACCATATGTGAAGGTGCTCCTGCGTCTTTGGGGGAAGTATATTTGTCTTAGCCGTGGTCACTAATTTTAGTGCCTTTGTGAATTGTGGTTTGTATTTATAATACAGCTCTTCCACATCCATTTGCTACGGTAAGACCAGAGGGGTCTATATGGAAATCAGACTCATGGTCTGGTTTCGCTGAAAGCATTCTCAGACAATTGAACTACCAGGGAGCAATGATTTTGTCACAGTGGTAGACGAGGAGAAGGGAGGAGAAGGAACTGTGTGGACAGGAGAGGTGTCTGGGACAAAGATGGAGGTGGGCTATGGGTGGGTGGTCAGCTGAGTGGTGGCAGATCTGAGACACTGCACATACAGGCTGTCCCCAAACCTTGTCTGCAAAATAAACTTGGGAACCTTTTCAGTCCCATCCTTTTTTGTCCTATTGTTTATAAATTCCCAGAGAGTTACTTATTGAGAAAAGTATTTTACCCTAACATATATTCATTTAACTAACTTGGAAGATCTCCAAAGTCTGATCTTATTTTCTACAATACCGATGTAAGCTAATTTATAATAGAAATTTGTTCATGGTATTCAATATGTGTATCAATAGCATGAATATAAGTTTTCTTATTTGAGATTATTCTTTATTGGTACCGAACCTGAGATAATACATGAAGGTGTGTAGCATGGTGCCTTATCACAATTCTTTAGTGGTAATGTTTGCTATGAATATTATGTGCTGGTAGCACCTTTTTAATACAGAATCTGCATTCGATTTATGTAGTTATGTTTAAGCCGAATGTGATTGTTTTGTTGTTGTTGTTGTTATGGTTTAGCTAAGATACAGCAGGAGTCTACTTTATTCAAAAAATGCAAAGCAAGCACCGGATTGCCTAGTAAAACTTTTGAACCAGATACATCAGTGCAGGTAAGTGGGTTTCAAAATAGGTTGATGGAAATGTGATCTCTCACAAACCTTTGTCTCATGACCACTGTGCTGGGGCCCTGAGGAGCTGAAGCTTGAACAGATACCTCGCTTAACCCTTCCAGGGTTCTGGTTTTTCATACAATGAGTGGTTGAACTAAATGCCCTCCTTATACCTCTTGATGGTCTACCATTGTTGGGATCCTAAAATACCATTCTTAAAAAATTCATAATCCAGTTGTGAAGACAGGGAAAGCATGGAGAGATATATGTACATATAAAATGCTGGATAAATGATATGTGGTGTATACACACAGTAGGCTATTATTCAACCTTAAAAAGGAATAAAATTCTGATACATGCTACAACATAGATGAACCTTGAGGACAGCATGCTAAGCGAAATAAGCCAGATACAAAAGGACAAGGGTTCTATGATTCCCCTTATATTAGGTTCCTAGAATAGGCAAATTCGTAGAGATGGAAGGTAGACTAGAGGTTACTAAGGGTTGGGGGAGTGGGAAATGGGAAGTTGTTTAGTCAGTACAGAGTTTCTGTTTGGGATGACAAAAAAGTTCTAGAAATGGATAGCAGTGATGGTTGAACGACATTGTGAATGTACATAATGCCACTGAATTGTACACTTAAAAATAGTTAAAAGAGTAAATCTTATGTATATGTCAGCACAATAAATTCATGCACACACACACACCCTTATGACCATGTAGCAAGAAGTACAAAGGGGCCAGAATTTCAGAGAGATGTGAAGGATGAGAAGGAGGAGTGGAGAGATGGGTTTCTGTAGTGATTACAGTTCATCCAGAGTGGTTACAATGGAGGTGCTTCTGAAGTGAGGTTTTGGAAACAAAGGTTTGAATGGTATGGGGAAGACAAGTATAGAGATTGTTCCTTGTCGGACAGAATGGCCTGTAAAGGAAGGTGGGGAAGAAGGCGATGGCAGGTCGGTTTGCTTAACTGAAGTAGAAAGTTTCTTAGGGCAGAATACATAACGTGAACAGAAATTTATAATTGTTTTCAAACTTATACATGCAATTTCATTTGATTCTCAAAACAAACCAGTGAAGGACTTTGGACTTGTGGAAAGCCCTTTCTCTTTTAGAGGGCGTACATTCATCCATTTTTTCATTCAGCAAGTGCACACCGGGCAGCGCTAGGTGCAGGTCCTATGCTACCTGCGGGAGAGCAGTGGGAAGTTTTAGGAGCTTCTTGCCTTATGGGACTTCCAGCCTAAAGGAGAGGACAGACAACAAGCAAGCGAAGAAAGAAGCAGTTGGTATGGTGGTTGGACACAGAATAGCGACTGTTAGAAATTTCAGAACTAAAATATCAAGATGGAAAAAGTGTTCATTAGCTGATTTCAGCATCAGGGCAAGGTTAAGGTGAGAGAGAAGGGAGCAAGTGGAAGGTAGGAAGCAATGGGGAGCCGTGGTTGGTAGAGTGGCTTCTAGCCCAGGTCTGGCCTCAGTCTCCTCTTCCCTGCAGTCATCTCTGCTTTGCCCCGCTAAGTATGATTCCGAAATACCAGCCTCCTCTGGGCTTCTGGTGAAAGGTGAAATCAAAGTTTGCATGGTTAAGTTTCTGGGGGCGAGGATGGGCAGACAGGAGGGGAAGGAAGAGAAAAGAGACGTGTATTTTAAAACAAGAAATGTCTAGAGAAGAATATGAAGTATCCTGGCAATAAGAGGATGAATTGAGTGTCTTTTGTCACATCCAAGCAGTCCCAGTGAAATTTGCTGCTTTTATGTTTATCAGATTGGATAAACTAGAGCAGTTTCACAGTTTTGTTCTTCGAGAACTGAGAAACCTTGAGGAGGCTATTCAGGCTCTGAAACACCTTGAGAAGGATATTCTGGTAAGTTCTTTTTGTTCGTAACATTCTCTGAGACTTAAGAGGATCTGTGTCAGGGTAGAATAACTGCTGGCTACTTAAACAAACAAATCTTTCATTCAATTTTAGGAATTCTGTGGGAAACAATCAGATGAACTGAAATCATTCTGTGACCTGCAAGTGCTGAGGTATTTTTTTAATATATACTTTCTGGAAGTATCTCAGTTGAAGTATGAGGTAATGCTTTGGCTGGAATATGAGTGGTTGATTTTGATAGAACTTCACTTAACTAGCTAACTGGCTGTATCTTTTCCAACCAACCAGTTCTGTGGCATTCCCTGAGCATAGAGTGTGGCTTAGGATATCAATCTAGGAGTGGACATTTTGAGCAGCATAAACAGAATCACTCAAATTTCAATGTTTTTGATCCAAATTGTTTTATTTCTAAATGATATTTTAAAAATTAAAGTGAGTAGATTTTGAGAAAATAGATTTCTGAGTAAACAGTTGATTTTCAGTCATATGCTGAATTGTATTCTTGGTAGGATATATTCTATACATAATATGTATATATATTTTTAAAATATATATATATATATTTTTAAACAACAAATGGGTTTATCCTGCTGCACGTCCCTTTTGCTGTGATCACTCAGGGTGTATTCCGAGGCTGCTGCTTCTATCCCTTTGGAATATGGTCCCCTTCTCTGGAGTGTAGGGAGTGGGGAAATGGAGACTGGGGCCCTCTGCTCCTCGGCTTCTGCCCTGGGAGAAATTCTAATGTTTTCTTTCTGTTTAACCAATCAAGAGGAATCCCCATATACATTTATAATGGCTAAAGCTTTATCCACCTGTTGAGAATCAGCTTCTATCACAGAAATCTAAGTCAAATAGTTTTAGGAAGGATATAATTCTGATCACACCATATATTTCAAACAACAACAAAAAACTTTTAAAATTTGAGTTACCCATCCTTCTGTTACTCAAGTTAACGTGGTTAATAATAATGACAGTATGGACTATGGATTTTCAAAATTGTTTCACAAACACATCTCCCTCCAAGTACCATTATACGTGGTTTAAGTGGATATCCTTTTAAAACCTCTTCACTGAATGCACATGGTTGGTTGTGAATGGTTCTCAAACTTCTTGGAATCAGGACCTCTTAACACTGAAAATTTATTGAGGATCCTCGAAGAGCTTTTGCTTTATGAATGCTATGTGAGTATTTTCCATATTAAAAATTGAGACAGATTTTTTTTTTTTTTTTTTTTT